AAAGCAGCTGGCCAGGGGGCTGGTTTCCAGTAACCACCACTGGTGGCCGTTGGCACCTCTGCCACGCTGGCCCCGGGCTCATCCGTGCGGGAGCAGCGGGACGGCCAGGGCAGCAGCACCGTGGCACCCCGAGGCCACCAGTCCCACGCCTCTCCTGCTCCAACAGACAATGGGAAAAAATAACCCCAAAAAGCTGCTGGCCCTTCGCCATGCGGTTTTACAAAGATGTGACCTGCTGCTCCCTGCTGCAGTGGGCTGCGGTACTCTTCCCGGTTCGAAGGCAGCAGAGGCCTCAAAGAACTGGGAGGTGAAAGGAAGGTGAGAAGCAGCCTCTGATTTTACGCTGCCGACCCCCCACACACACACTCAACAGCTCCTTCACCCCCCGCCGATGCGGAGCAAGAGCCGGCGGCCAGACGTCAGAGCCAGAAATACCCCAACTGGGCACAGAGCGCGGGGCACAGCCCTGCCAGGCGGGCGGCCGGTGGCATCTGCCCCCCAGCACTGCGCCAGCCGGACCCCCCCCGAGATGCCCCCGCTCGTGCCCTGCGCCGTGGGCCCGGGCTGGGCGCCCTGCTCGCGGGCGGAAGAGTCGGCAGACCGAGCTGAGCCAAAGCGAACTTGCGCCCAGGGTGGTTCCCTTCCTCCAGGGTCACTGGTCAGAGGCGCCCAGCGCCTCGCCATGGCCCGCGGGGACCCCCGGCCTCCTCGGCACCCCAGCACCCCGGCTGCTGCAGCCGGAGCCGCTCCCGCCTTCGGGCAGACACGGGCACGGATTTGGACTTCACCTCCAAATGTTTCCCTTGCAATTTCCAAGTGATCTTTCTTATCAACTAAGTGAAAATTTTCCATAATTAGGTCAGGGAAAATCATGACTCGGGAACGTCCCCATTTCAAAGCAGCACGGGTAGATCTGTCCCACGGGGAGGGCTCGGAGCCCCCCGGAGCCCAGCACCGGGGCTCAGCCCCGGGGGCTCAGCCCCGTTCGGGCCCTGCAGCCCCAGGAGCTTCAGAGCCCGGCCGCCGCCGGCCCCTCTCCCGGGCACTCCGCCAGGTGTTCGTTCTGGGGAGAAGCCTGTTTACATTGCAGGGGGAAAAAGTGGTGGGTTTTATTTAAAAACCACAAACAGCCCTCTGACAGTGGAGGGGCCCTTCCCCGCCTTGGGACCCTGTGAGGAAGGGGGGGGCTGGCAGCTTGACCACGGAAGAACATCGTAATGCCGCCAAAAGACAAAAACCCCCGTCCGTGGCATCCCAGGGGAGCGCTGGGCGAACTTCCCACGGGAAACCAGGACCCTCCCTGGGTACATCCCACGCCTGCAGCTCGTCCGCAGAGCGGCTCAAGGCACCTGAAATACACAGGTTCCCTTTTACAACTTGGAAGTAAATTGTTGTGGTTCTAGTAAAAAATGAGCACTTGTTACCACGCAGCCACAGACTGGATTTCCTTGAGAGCACAGATATAATTCTTGACAGGGGCTTCCTGACACATAAATTATGACACTATTTTGGAGGCAATCTCAGAACATCAGACTAAGAAACAGCCTTTGTACATCACAATATTGTTTCTAAATTGACAAATAGACCCTCATGGGCTTCATTACTCTGCTCCGAGCGCACATGTTTGCATTTTTATTTTCCCTAGCAATGATTAAAGGGCTACAGAAGTGCGGGCTCCGGGTTTGGAAAATTCAAACATCAGCCTCGATCAAGCTGAGAAACAAGAAAAGTAGCTTGAAGGGATGCGGAGCTCAGGGAGGGGCTCTCTGTTCCCATGATCTTTAAGTCTGGCACACTTTGGAGAGTGCCCCGTGCTGCCAGTCCTGGAAAGTCAACAGTGTAAAGCAACTTGATTAACATGTTCAGTACTCAATCAAGAGCATCTGTGCAAAGGTCCTGTTTATTCAACAGGAGGCTTACACCCTGCACTTGTGGGAGTATGTAGATCTCCCCAGAAATGCCAGATAAAAGCCGAAGCACGGAGAAGATCTCCGGAAATACAGGAGATAACAGTCCCAAGACCAGGGTTCCTTTACCGGCCACCAGCCAGTGTTCAAGGATGCTGGGGCAGTGCTTGAGGAGTATTTTGGGTTGGAATGGCTGTGGTTGGCCGCAGCCCAGGGAGCTCCTGGTGCTGCTCTGCCGGGGCCAGGGCATCGCTCCAGGCTCCGCTCGGGAACAGCAGCCCCGGCGCCGGCCCGCGGGGACACACAGCAGGAGGGCACAGCGGGACGGGCTGGGGCAGCTCTGCCCCGTCCCTGTCAGCACATTGATGGGAGCCTCATCCCGTGCCACAACGGCTGGGTACGCAGGGCAGCCAACTCCAGCCACAAAAAAAGGCCCGGAGAGAGCGAAGCAGCCTGGAAACAGCCCGGCGGGGAGCACTGCAGGCGGGAGGGGGAGCCCACAGTTCTGGGGGCGACGTTGCTGTGCCACCGGGCCAGTTTTGCGCCTCAGGTTCTGCAGTACTTCTACTCTTTCCTGCCAGCAAAAATAGACTCGGCACATCTGAGTTGGGCGTCTCGTGTCTTTGTGTGGAAAGAGACGGGAGAAGCCGGGCAGGAGGGGAAGGCTGGGAAGGCAGCCCCGAGCGGGATGGCATTTCCTTGCACGGGTTCACCGTCGGGCTCTGTCAAGTGGTCGGGCCCCCAACCCTCCCCTACCACGGCCAGGACGCGCGCGCCCGCACGGTCCAGTGACGGGGACGAGGCCCTGAGACCAGTGAGCCACCAGCCACCGGACTATTACCCCAACCTTCTGATTTACCTGTGCCGGGGGCCACTGTTTCAACAAAGCCAACTCCCACTTGAGCCGCCGGCAGCGAGAGCAGCCCGCTCCAGAGATGGAGCCGGGCGCGACACAAGAGCTCCGGGACGCTCGTGCACAAGACGCGCAGCGGGAAGTCACCGCTCGGTGTGATGTCACCGCCCTGGTAATGCATAGCTCTGTACATTTACATACAGAGAGCCACATCCAGGATTATACAAGCGTTCTTTTTAGCAGACTTGGCAGATTTCAGAACGAGCAAGAAGCCCCACAGCACCCGTTATCACCAGCCCGACGGAACTTTACATAAGGCAGGAGAGTTTCTCGTCAGCAGAGTCACACCGGCAGCCGCGGAGGGACCGGTGCGGTCCCTCTCCTCCCCACAGAGCTGTTTCAGCCAAGTGACAAACACCACGCAGAGAAGCCAATGCTGGGCTGGATGCTCCATTGGAAAACACCTGCAGCCACTTAAAAAAAAAAAAAAAAAGTCAACACTGGTGGATTTGACTTGCGTTGGCTGCAGAAACTCCTGGCCAGGCTGGCAGCTGGGGACAGAGCCTCATTTATTCGCAAACTGTCACATCAGCGGCACTGCCCATTGATGCTATTTTCAGGCACCGTGCCCCACATGCAGACACAGCAGCTCACACACAACGTCACAGCTCCCCGGTCAGACACCCCAGATAATCGCGGAGATGAAGATGATTTTTGCGCAGCGCTGAGCAGCGCAAGGCCAGCTCCTGCCTCACACTTCTGCTGAAATCTGCTGCCGTGCTCCACTGAGGGCAGGGCTGCTGCCCACTCACCCGGGACACACGGACACATCCAGCCCTTGCAGGAGAAGCTCGAGCAGCAGCGCGGCAGCAGAGCTGGCGCTGATCCCCTTCACACCGGTGAATTAACCCAGACACCCCTTAAAGCCTCCAAGAGTGCAAAGCTGGGCCCTAGCCCCCTCACCTTCTTGCAGAATCATCTCCTGTGTTTAAGATGCACTTTCAAGCTTTGCTCTGAAAATAAAAAGCAGCCACGTGCACCAAGGAGAGCTGGGAGTCCCGAGTCTGTGCAAGAAGTTGTTTTCCCCCGTGCACATCCAGCATGTCGGCACTGTCAGCCCCGGCGCTGCGCTGCCAAGGGCAGGATTAGGCTCGTCCCACGCCCCGGGACCTGTGGGGTTTGCTCCCGGGCAGAGAAGAGCTCCAGCCCTACCCCACCCCGACGCACAGCTCACCAAAAGCTCCAGTGATAACTCACCGCCGCTTCAATCGCAAAGTATATCGATAAAAGCTGAGGAGAGAGCGGGCAATCTTCCAGATGAAGATGCTGCTTCCGCACCCAAGTTCGCTCCTGCTCAGCCAGTTACTCTGCAGGTGCGTCCCCGGGCAGGGGACCCCGCTCTGCCCCGGGCTCAGCCACCCCAAGACCCGGCACGCACTGCCCAGATCACTAACAGAAAGCGCTTTTGTGGGGCTTCACTAAAAGTCCTTTTCTTTAAAAGCCGAGTACCCCTTGTGGAGGCAGCCAGAAAGCCTCGGCTCCATTTCCAACGCCAACCTCTCCGCGCCTCCATCCGAGCAGGGACGTGAGCAGCCGGGCCGTGGGACATGCTGGGTGTAATGCGCACCCCGACAGCACAGTGGGGCCCAGGCAGTGCCCACGGCCACGGCCCCACCGCCCACCCACGGCCACGGCCCCACCACCCAGGTTGTGCCGGGGACCCCGGCTGCGTGCGGGCACCTTGGCAAATGCCGCCTGGGCCCAGGCGCTGCCGGCAGACCCGAGCCCACCGCGGGCCCGGGGGGGGTCACACCCCGCGTACCCCAATGGCGCCGACACCTTGGCAGAGACGAGCCGGAGGGGCACCGCCGCCCACCGCGCACCCACGCGGGTCCCGCAGCCCCGCGCAGCCGGCAAAGTTCCTCGGAGGAAGTTTCCCTCCTGACCTGGCACCTCCCGCGGGGAAGGTGAGCGGGACCGGGGCTCCGCCGCCCCCCCCCGCCCCGCTGCGCAGCCGGGCTCCCCGATTCCAGGCGCCGCAGGCGGGAGCCGGGATGGAGAGCGGGGACCGGAGCATCCCCCCGGGCGGGCAGCCAGCCAGCCCTCGCTCCCCCACCCGGGCCCGCCGTGCCCCCCCCAGCGCATCCCCCGCCTCCGACAACTTCGCCACGGCCGCGACTCCCCGGGGCCCCGGCGCGGCGGTGCCGAGGGACCCCGGCCGCCCCCCCCGCCCGCCCTACCTGCCCAGGCACCCGGCTCCGCCGCCGGCTGCAGCATCCTCCCGCCGGCTGCTCGCTCCCGGCTGGGCGGGCGCGCTCCCGGAGGAGGAGGAGGAGGAAGAGGAGGAGGAGGAGGAGGAAGGGGGGGATGAAGGCAGCGCGCACGCCGCCGCCGTCCCCCCCCGCCTCCCCCGGCGCCGTGCGCCCGTACGAGGTGGGAGGGAGGAACCGCAGCGACGCATCCCGGTGCTGAATCCTGCAGCGGGGCCCGGGGGGGGGGGGCCCGCACCCCCCTCGGTCCGGGGTGCCCCGGGGCTGCGGGAGCTGGAGTGGGCATCTGAGCGGGGTCCCGGGGGGCCCCGGGGACCCCTGTGCTGCCACAGCCCCCTGGGCACCCCGGGGGAGCGCGGTGGCTCCCCAGACCCTTTCCAGGGTATTCGGGGGGTCTGTGAGGTGTGTGGCTGGGCACACGGAGGAGGGTGCGTGGAGGGCACCCCAAGTTCAGGGCACAGAGATGCCCGGTGCCACCAGCCCCCCAGAGCACAGAGGGGGTCAGCTCTCAGTCCTGCCAGGACAGGGGTCCCCAGTGCCAGCGCACAGGAGCAGGGAGGCCCGGCTCTACAGGAGCCCTCAGAGGGGACAGGGGAGGTGGCAGCGGTGGCCCCGCAGGGGCTGCGAGGGTTCTCTGGTGGCAGAGCCCCCGGTGTGGCCCAGGGAGCGGCTGCGGTTCCCGTGTGGCAGCCGGCCCCGCCGCTCGGAAGGGGCTGGAGGGGCCTGATCCGGGGGGGGGGTCCCTCAGGGAGATGCTCTCTGCTCATAACCCAGCACTGCTGCGGCACAAGGCACCCACCGGGCAAGGGCCCCGGTGCCAACACACAGCGTGCTTGTGCTAAGATCAACATTTTTCTGAGTGCAAAAGCATGTGTTGTCCTATCGTTGACATTGTTGTTAATATTTGAGCAACTCCCAGAACCTTTGAGAGGGGCCACGCAGCGTTGACATGGAAGAGCAGATATAAAAACGACCTGCTCCCCACCCCAAGGAATATTCTGTCTAGACACGTTATATAATCACACTTTGCCCTCCTCCAGGACATTTCGCAGAGGATCTCAAAGCACTTCGCAAAACTGCTAATTAAGCTCTGAGCCCGGCTGGGAGGGAATTGCTCTGGGCGCCTGGGCTCCCTGGCCAGGAGAGCTCTCCTCCAGAGCAGAGGCACTCCGGGGCTCCCATCTCTGGCAGCGCTCACCCACTTGCTGTTTTGCCTCCACTAAAAAGCGGAATTGCTGCCAAGGTGAAGAGTCCGTCCAGCCCTGTGAAGTCGCTGGCAGAGGGCTGGAGACGAGGACAGAGCACGTGCTGCTCTGGGCTCCTCTGAGCCCGTGGGGACCGTGGCTGCGGAGGGCTCGAGGGGCCCAGGGCTGCCAGGGAGGTGGAATCCTGGAACGGAGAGGCTGGGCTCTGAGCTCCCCCCTCAGCAGCTATTTCTGGGTCTGTAGCTCTTGGAACACAAGCGGATGGCCCGGCAGCACGGGGTTATGATGTGCACACCACGAGCCCCTCTCCTCGCTGCCACCGGAGCCAGGGGCAGGTCCCGAGGGACAGCACTGCGGCACCACTGAGCCTCGGCGTGGAGCTCATTAGAAATTACTTTGGGTTTTAAGAATCCTTTCTCCAAAGCTTGGTGCATTTATTTGCTGTGCCATCTGATTTTCACAACGTAGGGTGTTTTTTTCCTCCCTATAAATAATTACAGGCACTCTAATGGATCTCAAACCTTGCATTACCTTAGCTGTCAGGAGCTTGACGATTACGGTGTAGCCTTCCTCTCCGAGGAGCAGAGACAGGGCTGCAGCTCCTCCACAGATTTTTTTCATTCACGTTAACCCTTACAGCCTCATCCTGCCTCCACCACGCCGCGGGGATGGGCGCCGTACCCCCCCCATTCCAGGCGTGGGAACCGGGAAGCGCAGGGACGAGGCCTCTCGCCCAACCCACATCTCCCGGCATTCCAGCACCGGGGAGCACGGACGAGTCACCCCCCTCCACCGAGTCACCCCCCTCCACCGTAACCGCTGGCTCCCCCCTCCCGAAGGCAGCCGTTCACATCGCTCACAGTCTAATGCAATACTCCTCTTGCCTTCTTTCCCATTTCCTGAAGTTTTCATGGTATATTTAGCAAGCCTGCATGCAGGGATTTTTTAAATTAAACTAAACTTTCATGTCCATTCGAGCCTGTCCCTACGGAGGGACCGAGCTGGTGACGCTTTGCTGTGTCAAGAAGAGGAGTGAGAGTGCGGGGCGGGCGGAGGGAGCAGTTCCCAGCCGCAGGGTCGGATCCGAGCAGCTCACACAAACTGTCCTCAGCAGGACCCCACCGAGGGGAGCCCGGCTCTGCCGGGCACTGCTCCCCACCAGGCAAACAGGCTTTGCTGATTAAATTCCTCATGAAAATCTTTAAACTGATGCTAGCTTCACATTCTGTTCTTTATTTCCCACACAACCTTGCCCAGCCCTGTCTGCTCCCACCTTCCCACACAGACCCAGCCTCAGCTCGCTCAAAATGAACTCTAACAGGCTGCAGGTAAACTTGTTTTCCCTTCCAGAAACCACACAAAGACAGGGCAAGGCAATCAATGTGATATGCATCTCAGCAGCGCTGGCTAATCCTCCTGGAGACACCTTTTTTCTTGTGTTTAGTTCAGCTTCTCCCCAAGATATTGTTTGTGCTGAGGCCAATGGAGACTCATCGCCCTTAAACCTATTAGTGTACTGCAGATATTTCCGAAAATGAAGACAAATGTCTAAACAAAGAGAAGGTCATCTCCAGCTGCACCACACGGAAATGCTGTGGGACAGAGCTGCAGAAGGAACAGCACATCCAAATCCTCCACCTCGCTGCAGTTGCTCACAAAGTTTCTCCCACCCCCGTGCTCATTTCTTTACAGCAGCTTTTTGCATTCAAAGAGAAGAAATGAGCCTACGAGGGAACGGGCACTCATCAGGGCTGAAGCTTCACTAATCCTCATGTCTGTGGAGTTCAGCAGCTCTGCGTTCAGTAAATAAGAAGTTTTACCATTAACCCAACCGTCTGCATCCTCACGGCAGCACGGGAGCTGCGTTGTTGGCCCCGGCAGCTCCGAGCATGGCGCTGCACAGGGAGGTGCTGGCACTGCCCGGGGACACCGGGGTGGCACCTCGCCGGTGAGCCGGGTCCTGGGTGGGGGTGACGGAGGAGCCGAAGGCTGTCCTGGACACGATGCCATTGAGACATTTCCAGTCCCAAACGTGGAGCCACAGGACCAGGAGCCTTGCCCATGTCCTGCCCAGAGAGCCCCAGGCTCCTGCGCAGCGTTGGGGTCCCAAATCACCAGTGGATAGGAAAGGGGATGATGAGGAGGAGCCCACCTCCGAAAACCACAATCTAGACCCTCAGCTACCCCCGCCTCCAGGAGAGAGGCACAAGCGAGGGTCTGTGAAAGCAATTTGAAGCAGCTGATTATTGCAAAGCCCTTCCCTGCTCCGCGAGGAGCAAGCCCGAGCCATGAGCACCAAAAGTCACCCCGGGCCGCTGGCCCCCGCGCAGAACCTGGCTGTAAGCACCGGGCACGGAGCCGGTGCCGCCAGCACCACAGCTCGCGTGCGATTCATGAGCGGCGGGTCCCTCCAAAACGGCTGCGCAGGGTCTGCCAAAGTGCCCCCCGAGGGAGCCCAGCCAGGGCCGAGAGCCCCCCAGCCTCCTCCGGGCAAGGGGCCACTGAGGGCTGGAGGTTTCTCCGAGGGGACGAGGACCCGCCGGGGTCCCACCGGCGCTGGCCGGTTGTGGTGCTGGCTCTCCAGAGCTGTTCGTCCCCTCCCCTGGTGTCGCTGCCTCCCACGCCACGGGGGACCAGCAGAACCTGTCCCTGCCCCGGCTTCTGGGCACCGAGGCCCACGGGGGACGGGGGCAGCGGAGGGGCCGTGCTGCAGGAACTGAGCCCGGGGTCCCGCAGCCCGGGGAGGTCGATGCTGGGCGGCTCAGTCCCAGCATCGCTTTCCAGGAAGCCTCGCTGGCTCCTCGGCCGCCGCGCCGAGCTGTGCCAAGCTGCTCCGGCAGCTGCCGGGGCTGTTCAGCAGCTGGTAAGCCTATAATTGCTCATTGAGTCATAATTTTTTTTTTTTTTTTTTTTTTTTTGGTGAAAGCAGCACTGTCAGGGAATTAAAATCTTCTCAAAAGCCCATAAAGATTTTATAAACGATTCAAATCAGATCAATGAGGGTCAGCGTCTTTACAGCCAGGAGAAAGGGGCAGGAGGTGGGGAGACAGGCAGCAGAACATCTCAACAGCCATAACCGGTTACAGAAGTGACACCGACGGGCAGCCCCAGCCCGTGGGGCATCGTCCCTGCCTTTGTGCCGAGGCGGCAGTGACCCTGCCCACCCCTGGCGTGGGGCAGGATCGGTCCCGCTCCATAGCCTGGGTGCAAGGGCCCATCTTTGATGGGTTCCAGGTTTTCCACCTTAAATTCCCAGAGGCGCTGCGGAGGTGGGCGATGGGTGCCGGGATGCGGGCACGGCAGCACCACCAGCCCCTGGCAAAGCCAGAAACCACCACGGGCAAGTGAGGGCCCGAGCAATCGCAGCACCTCAGCTCTCAGACCCACACTGTGCTCGTTAGCCAAATTAGCAGCTTACCTGGCTCTGGCCAGATGCGGTGCTGGACCCGGCAGCCAGCACGGGCAGGGAGGGCACCGGCCCGGCAAACACCCACGTTTGGATTCAGAGGAGCCCACGGTGTCCTCAGGGACAAAGGTTTGCACTCTGTAAGAGTTATAAAAATGGAATAAACTTTCCCATTTATACAGCCCTTTCCACACGAACACTTTGCAAATAACTCATTAATTAAATCTCAGCACTCCTCTGCGAGGTTTGGCCATTACCAGCAGCACTCTGGGGTGTGCAGTTTGAAGATCAGCCCGCGCTCCAGCAGCGCCTTCCTTTAGCTTTTAGGGACAGGGCAAGAGTGCTGGGACAGTGACCTGTCTGTGTGTCTGTCCCCACGCCCGACGGATGCCATCTCACCACAAGCCTTGCTCCACGGGGGTGGCTTGGTTGGGAGCAAAGGGAGGATGGAAACCACAAAGCCCTCT